AAAGTAATATGTATAGCACATACCAATTTAGATAAAAATGAATAAACACATGCATATATATTTTTATATGCAAAAGAATGTTTCTAAAGAGATATATTAGAACAGAAGAGAGTGATTGTTCTGGGAAAGAACAGAAAAACTAGGGGCTTGGTGTCACTGGAAGACTTTTCATTATTTTATTGTGTTGAATTTATTTTTCACATATTACGTTTTAATTTTATTTTTAATACACACTATTTAAAAGAAAAAATAGTATGATAAATATTACATGCCATGAGACAAGAGAAAAATAGCAGCTCAAAGAAAGCTTATTTAAGCAAGAAAACCTCACAGTAGTGAGCTTTGAATTGAGATTTTAAAGAGAGATTTAGCAGAGTGGTGAAGGGATAACACATGCAGACAGGGAAGGATAACATGGAGGTAGGAACAGATATTCACCGTAGGGAAACCACTGATAGTTCAAAATTGATGAAGCATAGGGAGTTATTCCATTGACTACCTATCTTACAAGCCTCATTTTCCCCCAAGGACAGATTGTGTCAGGGTAAGGAGTTGAAATTTTATTTTGAAGCATGGGGAGCAACTCCAAAGTCTATAAGGAAAGTGTGATATATGATTAGCTTTGCATTTCATATATATCATGATGGTACTGTGGACTACTGACTGACAAGGTGCAAGACAGGGAGGAGATACTTGTGCTAGACGACTGCTGCAATAATCTACAGGAGATGCCAATGTGGTGATTGTGAGGAGAAAAGGGAGGAAATAGTAAGATATTAAGAAGGGTAGAATTAAAAGAACTTAGGTTCTTAGGAACAAAGGAGTATATGAAGTTACTTATTACAATTTCCTTTTTTGGCTTGAACAACTGAGTAGACAATGGGGCCAGCCCTTCAGTGTCAGGAAACATAAAAATGGCATAGATAAGAAAGAAATGTTTAGTTCTGCTGTTGAGGTTGAGGGGCTTGGGGACATTTAATAGATGACAGTGTGGGGGTACAGCTGAATACATATACATGTCTGGAACACAGGACAATGTTGAAGAAACAGACTTAGTTATTACAAGAATAAAACTCGTAGTTGATGTCATGGGACTATTTCAGATCACCACAGGAGGAAGGCTATGAAGGGAACCACAATATATAAACGGTGGAGTATACATAGAAAGCCCCAAAGGAAAGCTAAGGAAGTACTAAGGAAGATTTCAGGAGTGAGTAGCCTCACAGAAGCCAATGGATGACAGTTTCAAGAAGGAACATACTCTTTCAGAGAAATCTAGAAAGACAGGAGCTAAAATGTGTCAGTGGTATTGAGAAACTAGATTACATACTGTATTAATGTGACAGAATTACCTAGTGCTTGTTTGAAGGTCAGATTTCTGGTCCCTGGTCCCTCTGAGCAGAAATTTGTGGGGATGGAAAAAGAATTTACGTATTTTTAAGAAGGTTTCCAGTGAATTACACCCTCAGGTCTGAAAACAACTATAGCAAATTGTAAACTCTTCAAGAAGAAGTATCTTGTTTGTTTAACTCCTCATGTATACTTAGTGTTCACCATAGCATCTGTCATATAATAGATCCTCAACAAATATTCAGTAATTTAAAAATGAGATGAATGAATGAATAGATGGAGAGATGAAAAGCTACTGAATGAAAGAACTAAAGAACTAATGTCTGCCAAAATCTTGGCAAGATTATTGGAGCTTACATTCTAATGGTACAGGGCAGATAATATACATGTGAACAGATGAACACATAAAATAATTTGCAGAGATCTGCTTTAGCTAGAGTAGTCAGGGAAAGCTGCTTTGAGGAGGTGGCATTTAAATTATCATTTAAATAATGAGAAGGTATTAACCAGTGATAGTCTGTGGACAAAACATTTCAGGCAGGGGAAGGTCCTAATGAGAAAAAGGGTGAATAAAGTGTGTTTAAGTAATAAAGAGACCTATGCGGCTACAGCTAAGGGAATGAGACAGAGAATGGGAGAACCGTGGAAGATGAGCCTGAAAAGATGGATAGGATGCTGATCATATAGGCTCTCACAAGTTGTGATCTATCGCTGTTTGGATGTTATTCTAATTGCGATAAGAACCCACTTACATTTTAAACAAAGTAGGGATATGATTTGATTTACACTTGAAAAATATCATTCTGATATCTATATAAATAACGGATCACGGCAGGGCAATGGTGGAAGTAAGCAGACCAGTTAGAGGTTGAGGTAGTATTCCAGACAAGAGGTGATTATGGTATGGTGGTAGTAGTAGAGACAGTGAGAAGAGCTTGGAGTTATAATAGAATATATTCTGGAAATAGAGCAGACAAGATCATGTTAATGAGTTAGATATAGCAGGTGAGGGAAAGAGGAGTCTAAAGAATTTGGATTTTTGTCTGTAGGCAATGAGGACTCATTTAAAGTTTTGATTGAGTGACACAAATACAGTAGAATATATTAGAACGATTATCTTGGGGCAAGAAGCAAACAGAATTCTTTGGAAAATAAAATAGAAGGTAGAGGCAAATTTGGAGGTGTCAGTATTATTCTAGGCCTGAAGTAACAGGCATCTGAATTAAGGTGATGACAAAAGGAATGGCAAAAAACGATGGATATCAAGGCTACCATCGAGTATGTAGAGACTGAATTTGTGGTATCTGTGGGCACTGAAGTTTCGCTGATAAATATGGACCACAAAGACTTGGGAGTCATCAGAATATAGCTAATAAAGTCAAGAGAGCGATTGAAATTACCTAGAAAAAATTTCTAGAGGGAAAATGGAGCCTAAACTAGGAATCAGTAAAAGAGCAGGACTATCCAGAATGAAAGCAGAAAAACGAGGAAAGTGTGGTTCCATCAGTGTAACTAGAAGCATTTCAAGATGCGTCTGTAACTGGGAAATACGGACTAAGAAGTATCTATTGTGTTTGGCAAAATGGGTATCGTGAGTGATTTCGGTCACAGCTGTATCCGTTTAGAGGCAGAATGAGAAGACAGATTCCAGGTACTTGAGGCATCTCAGACATGAAGAAGTACTGACAATGAATACAGATAACACTTCTATATATTTTGGTTTTGAAGCAAAGAAGAAAGAGAGGTAGTCAGAGAAAAACTAGGGTGGAGAAAGGGGGTCTTTAGGATGGGACAGTCTGTATTATGTTCCAATATTGATGTGAAGGAGACAAAGAGACTGAGAATGAAGACAGTCGAGGGGGTGGGTTGACTGCAATGTCTCTGAGAAGGCAGGTGTGAATGGGATCCAAGCACAGGTAGGGCCTTAGCCATATAAGGAAGAAAGAACACTTCTCCCAGTTACAGTAAGCAAGGATAGGTGTAAGTACAGGGAAATTAGTAGGGGTGGTGCTGGAGTTGGGAGGGAGGCAGTGCGATCTCTTATATCATGGCTCCCATTTCCTCTGTGAAGGAAGATGCGTCATCCACTTAAAGTAAGGGGTAAGGTGAAGGGATTTTAAATTTTAGGACAGTGGAGAAGGAATAAAATAGCCATTATGGAGAATGGGTAGAAAATAATTCTAGGGAAATGTAAGATTGCCAGAGCAAGTTGAGGAACTTGCTAAAGAATCATTGAATAAAATGAATTTTGCATTTTGTGTTTAAACATCCTATGGTAATACGAAGGTTAACTCATAATCAACATCATGGTGCTTCTCAAAACCTTGTTTCCCTTTTCTACAAAGAATATCAACACACTTAAAATCTAAACTTATGACTTCAAATTTTGGAAAAAGCTCTTTTGGCCAATACTTTGGCTAATGCCAGTCTCTCACTTCTGAATTTTTCTTTCATTTCCATAAATATATACAATGTTTTGGTAGAAGCTAAATTTAGTCTGATGGCAGTGAACAGATGTAAACATGATATAATGGAGCTACAGAACAAATTGCTGTGAGAAACGTCCTATCAGATAAGCATAGAAAGCAACCATGTTCCATAAATTGACTTAAATAAATGACACCAATTTATCTAGAAACCAAATACAATTTGTCACAATTATATAATCATTTCATTTTTCTTTTAATCTTTATTATCTGCCTGGAATATACTAGATGCTTAATAATAATTATTAAGGAATTAACACTATAAAAAATAACATTTCAGAGATTTCTAGGCATTTGGTACATATTGATTGATAAACCATAAAATAATCAATTACAAATAACTCCCCCAAAAAGGTAAAACCCATGAAGGTATTGAAAAGTGTAACTGCTAACAACAGCAATGGTATTAAAACAGCCCAGAGACAATATTGATGAATTAAGAGCATGGGAAAAGAAAATGATAACTTGTTAAAAGAGATAGGTTCTTTCATAGGAGAGAGATTTTCTTTTTTCCATCATCATGATAGAATATAAATACCCCACATAGTGTAATAATCAAACATTCTAGTTAATGATGCATTGCCATACTAAACACAACATTTGCTCTAAAACTCTAATAAAATATAGTACATTGAATAGAAAGAGTAAATGAAAACAACTGAATATTTAATGTTTAAAACATGTTTAGGGTTTCACAATAAGAAGTTAAGTAGAGTAATTTGAAATCTTGGGATAATTTTTTTTTTACTATGCTGCAAGTCAATTTCTTAATTGGTAAAAGAGAAGGGGTTACATTAATCTCTAAAGAAAGTTTCTACTCCTGTTTCTGATGACAAAGCATGTGATCACACAAACTATCAGATACTTTAATAGTATAGCACATTTTATATAGAATATAGTGTTCATTTTAATAAAAATAGACTTTCTGACAGAGCAATTTCTTTTTAGGTATAACTGTGTCTTATATTTGGGTTAACAAGTTGGTAATTAATTTTTATAATTTAAACATTTTCATTTCCATTTGAAGTTTATTTTTTTATAAATATACTATAAATGTATTTGATTTTTTCTAAAATAAAATACATTTTGTAATCATTATATCATGGCATTATTTTGTTTTCTCCTTTAGATGACTGTATTTTGAGATCTAGTATAAATTCTTACCTCTATGAGATATGGCTCCATTTGATCCAGGGTTTTCCCAAGATGCTTATCAGGATCTAAGCCTGCCAAGAAAGGTTAAATTTTTTAAAGATAACTATCAGATAGGAACTTTAAAGACACATTCCCTTTCCCTTGGCCCCTCCTTGCCTAGGAAAGCAGTGTGTATATATTTTAATTGCTTTGCTCATAAAGTAAAATGTACTTTGCTAGTATTTACTTTTCTATTCCCCTTGGGTAACTGGTTTTATTGCTTCTGAAAAGTAAGTTTCCATTTATTTCAATTGCACTGTGTCAACTACCAGATGCATTGTTTCAATTCCTTTATTCATTTTGAGGATAGAAAAATGTCTGGAATTTTAGGATAGAAAAAAAGAGTATCATTTCAAATACCTAAACTTTTAATTCTTTGTATTTTAATGGTTACGGTTTATTTTACTGATGGACAGCATTAATTTTCTGATTTATCCCTATTTTATTTAAACTTCAAACTTCTTACTTAGACAATAAGAGTAGAAAATAGCAGTAGACTGTTATGCTTAAGTATTAATTCACTTAATAGTAGCATATGGGCACAAATAATTGCATTATTAAATTAAATGAGATTTCATTTCAATGACTCCTTTGCAACAATGTATTTTTCAAGTAAAGATACAGACAACTGTGGAAAATCATCACTGTGCCAACAGCATGTGCATAACCTTTAATAAAGATATTAAACTGACATAACAGTAGCGTTTACATAGGTGATGGAGTGCGGGAGACAAGTGTGAGCTACATGAATGCTTTCTATACACCAAGACTAATCAGCCAGGAAAAAAATCACATGTCACAAGTCGGCCATGAAATAAATGAATTCATTTTGGATATTTACATTCATATTTACATATATTGGCCTAGATTCATTTACAAAAGTTAATGTAATGAAAGGCAATACTATAGTGCAAAGACAGTTTTGTCAACAAATGGTGTGAAATAACTGGATATCCACAGGCCAAAAAAAAAAAAATGGATCTAGACACAGACTTTACACTCTTCACAAAATTAACTTAAAATAGATTGTAGACATAAAGGTAAAATGCAAAATTATAACATTCCTATAACAGGAAAAAAATCTAGATGGCCTTGGTTATGGGGTATTTTAATACACCCCACCAGAAGCATTATCCATTAAGGAAACAATTAATAAGCTGACTTCATTAAAATTAAAAACCTCTGCTCTGTGAAAGACAATGTAAGAAGAATAAGAAGAAAAGCCATAGACTGAGAGAAAAGAACATCTGATAAAGGACTAGTATCTAATATACACAAAGAACTCTTAAAAATCAACAATAAGCAAACAACAATCCAATTTAAAAACGGGCAAAAAGACCTTAACAGACACCTCACTAAAGATATATCGATGGTAAATAAGCATATGAAAAGATCCTCCACATCATATGTCACCAGAGAAATGCAAATAAAACAAGAAGATACCACTACACACCTATTATAGAGGCCAAAATCTGGAAAACTTACAACACCAAAGGCTGGCAAGGATGTAAAGCAATACTATTGCTGATTGGAATGCAAAACGGTACAGTCACTTTGTAATGGGAATACATGTAAGACAGTTGGGCAGTTTCTTACAAAACTGAACATATTCTTACTAGATGATCCAACTATGGTGTTCCTTGGTGTTTACCCAAAGGTATCAAAACTTTTGTCTTCACAAAAACCTGCCCATGGATGTTTATAGCAGCTTTATTCACAATCGTGAAAATCTGGAGCAACCAAAATGTCTTTTAGTAGGTGAATGACTAAGTAAATTGTGTACATCCAGACAATGAAATATTACTCAGTGCTAAAAAAAAAAAAAAAAAAAAGCAGCTATCAAGCCATGAAAATACATGGAGGAAATGTAAATGTGTATTACTAAGTGAAAAAAGCCAATCTGAAAAAGCTACATACTGTATAATTCCAACTATATGACATTCCGGAAAAGAAAAAACTATGAAGATAGTAGAAAGGTCAGTGATTGCCAGGGGTTTTGGGCAGGGGGCAGTCAAGGTTAAACAGGCAGAGCACAGAGGATTTGTAGGGTAGAAAAATACTCTGTATGATACTGTAATGATGAATACGTTATTATACATTTGTCAAAACCCATAGAACGTACATCCCAGCAGTGAACCTTAATGTAAACTATGAACTTTGGGTGATTATGATGTGTCATTGTAAGTTCAACAATTTTAACAAATGTACCACTCTAGCAGGGGAGGTTGATAACGGGGGAGCTCATGCGGTATGGGGTCAGGGTATGTGGAAAATCTCTGTACATTTCTCTTAATTTGCTGTGAACCCACAACTGCTTTAACAAAATAAAATTAAAAAATTTGGTAAAGTTTCCTTGTGGTCTAGAACATGATCAGATTTTATAAATGCTCCATCTGTGCTTGAATGAAAGTGTGTTTTCTATCTGTTGAAAGCAAGATTCTGTACCCAAACACGTAAAATCATGACCATACTTGTTAATTTTGCTCTTCAAATCTTTTATGGCCTTAAAAATTTTTGCTATCCATGAACCATCAGTTTCTAATAATAAGGTAAAAAAAAAACCCTCCCATTATGATTTTGGTTTTAATAATCTCTTCTTATAATTCTGTCATTTTTCCTTAATATATTTGAGAGCTATGTTGTTATATGTGCACAAACTCATAATTTCTAAAACTTTTTGAAAGAATTACTCTGCTTATTAAGTAGTGACTTTTTCATCTCCATCAGATTTTTATCTTGTAATCTATATGTCTTCTATGAACACTGCGACACCAGCTTTCTTTTGTTAATCTTCCATATATATATTTTCCATTATTTGTTCTCAAATTTTTTGTATTGTTGTAGATGCCCACATATAATTGGGTTTCTTTTGTTTCACCCAATCTTATAAATATGACCCTAAAGAACCAAGTTTAATAATTTTATGTTATATGGCTGGACCTGCTTCTAGCATCTTAGTATAAATTTTCTGTTACATTAAGCTTTATATCTTTTTCTTTTTTTTCTGCCTCATACTGAGTTGAAAATTATTTTAATGTTTTACTCTGCTAATTAGAATGCTATAGAGTGAATTTCTACTTTTCAGATAATCATCTGTGAATTTTTGCATACATTCAAAACCATAGTTTTAAAGTCTTAATGTATTAACTATCTTCAGCATCCTTTAGACCAGAACTTAGTATGTTTTAACTAGACACTACACAGGCTTCACCATTTCAGTTGTTATTGTGTTGAATTTTTTTCCATTATTTTTAGCAAGAAAAATTAAGGTTATCAACATAGTTTACAATGTTTATGCTCACTATTGTTTGTCATTCATTTCTCCTTGAATCAATCTATTTCTAACTGAAGTTTGTTCTTTATTCTTTCACTGAAGATCTGTGAGTGGTATATTCTCCTAGTTTTTACAGGTCTCATAATGTCTCTATGTTTCTGTCACAATAGTTTAGTTGCAATATGTTACTTTTGGCATTTGCGGTTCCTAACGAAAATTATGATGTCAGTCTGATAGTGGCTCCCATATAAGGAATCTTTATTTTCTATATGCTAGATTGTACAATTTTCAACATACCTATGACACAATTTTCAACATACCTTCTACAGTTTGCAATCTTAATTCAAGGTGTCCAGGCATATGTTTATTTTAATTAGTACTGGACAGCACCTAATGTGTACTTTCAATTCAAAAACTCATGTCTTTCTTCAAATCTAGGGTATTTTCAGTTATATCTGCTTTTCTGCCTTCTATTTTTTCCTTGAAACACATATTATACAAATACTGCAATTTCCCAATCTAGCTTCCATATTTTTTAATTGCATTTTCTATTTTTTTTCCTCTCTCTGTGGCTTTTTCTATTTTTTTGCTCTCTCTATGCCTTCTTGGTGAATTACTTTTTCTCTTTTTTTCCACTGCACTCATTCTCTCTTTGACGTGACTAGCATTTATTCCACCCACTGAGGTTTTTTTTCATGACTATGTTTATGTTTCATTTCTAAAATTTCTAATTGGTTTTCACATCACTCTGTTACTGCTTCATTCTGGGCGATTTATTTTTCTAATAACTACTTTTTTAAACAAATGGATTTTATATTTTTCTTGATCTCTCTGAGGTTCTCCCTCATGTAGGGCACTTCCCATTTCTGTTTCCCCACAGGACATGACCGCCCAACTGCTTCGGCCTGCTTCCTGGATCCCTACATTACAGCGCACAACTTCAGTCCTGTTCACTACTTTTTGTCTTTTCATTTCTAGCTAACAGAGATGTTTACAATGTTTTCCAGCACAATTATGTTTTTCACATTTTTCCTTCTTATATTTATCTATGACTGCCATGGGTTTGGGAAATTTGTTAAAATCCAAAGCATGAATATACAAGGTCAGCATGGCTGGAAGTCACTTTTTAGCTTTCCCTCCAACTCTGTGTGTGTGGTATGTGTGTGTGTGTGTGTGTGTGTGTGTGTGTAACAACACATACATATATCACAGTCAGCATTAGGGCATCATTTAAAAAGTCTCCCATGATTGAATCTGAGAATTTGTGTTTTGCATTCTATGCATGAGCCTGGAAGTAAATATATGCAAATATATGCCTGTAAGGCATAAAAGGGAATTTAAGAGCATACAGTTTTTCACAGGTAGGCACCATAAGATCTCATTTTTCTTGCAGTCTTTTAATTCATCGTACAGTATCAAGCCCCAGTTCAGAATTGTTAAAGTATAGAAACAGCAGTTATATCTCATTTCAGAGATGGCTGTATTCCACAGTGGATAAAGTCATTTGGCTTGCCTTTAAATATGAGTCAGTAAATAATGTAAAACACCCTGAACACACTTTCCACATGAACCTGTGGTCTTCACACAGTTACAGCTTGGTAAAAATTAGTTGGTCATTTAAACACTTTTCTGTATTCATGAAAATATTTTCAATACATTAGCTTGGGCTAAGCACTACAAATTCCAGGAAGCTAAAATCATTGAAATAAATAACATTTAAAACATTAGAGAAAAATTTTCAAATATTTTCCTGAGACA